AATCAATCAAATGTTTGTGTTAAGCTCTGAACAACAGCAAATAACCAATATGACTACGTTAAAGTAAGATATTTGGACCGTGTAGCGCATTAAAAAAAAAGATAGAATAAAAACGAGACCGTCAAAATTACAGTGATGCTTGTAGAGTAATGGATTGTGGCTCAGATTGAGGAATCAGAGAGCCGACTTCGAATTCCAGTCGAGTTCATTAAATTCACTTACGTGTTAATACCCTTGGGAAAGGTATGAGTCCTTCTCCCCCAGCTAGGTGTAAATAGCATGGCAGGTTCTATAGCCTTGGTTAGCAACCGGTCTAGAAGAAAATCTCTGAACTCAAAACTGTATGTAGTCCTGACGAAGCACATACTATGCAGTTAAGGAAAAGATCATTCGCATTGACTCGATGATCGCGACTACGGTTGATTCCTTTGTGTGTGTGTATGTGTGTGTGTGTTTGCTTGCTTGCGCGCGTGTGTATTTGTGTGTGTGTGTGTGTGCGAAGATACTGAGGAAGGTGCTGGTGTTTCGAAGGGGTTATCAGTATTTATTAAGTGGTTTCTAAACTTTTTTTGCGAAGTGACCTGGACTTTTTCTGGGACAGAAACATAATTGATGTCTTCCATTCTTATTATCCATTCAAATATCCTACATTTCATTTTAATAATCAATATATTTCGATATATTCGAAGCAAATGAAAGGCACGCCTTTATCTAAATGTATAACTAGCATATGACAGCGTGCCAGTCATCCCAACCTGGAGTAAGAAAAGATAGTGCGACAGCGTCAAACTACAGCCGCCTTGGCATACAATGTATTACATGTAAACAGACTGGATTATATCAAGATTTTTTATATATTTATTGGTCTTCGAAAATAATAACGAGATAAGGTCGAATATTATCTTCAAATATAAAGCAACAAATATGATATAAAATTCTGCAAAGATAAGGAGAGAGAGAAAGAAGACCTTAAATAACGACTTACTACATGTCACGAATAAACAAGAGTAGTTTCCCATTGTTTCGTTACTCTCCTTTTTGAGAGAGCTATTTCTGTTTACTGGGACTATAAAAGGACACTATACGCGAACCTTGTGTTCTCAGTTGAATAAATCTTTCTTAAAGCCTAAACCTGTGTACTTTTGTCATTACACCACACTAAAGAAGGCGAAGACTCTAAATAACTTCTCAAGAAACAACAACAAAAAAACGTAGAGTAATATACTTGCATAGAAGAATTTTATTGGCTGATGGCCGAACAGCCAAAAAAAAAAAAAGAGAAAAATACCTGCCAAAATGGAAAAACCGCCCCAGCAAGCATGTCCGAAGAATATGTAGCCCAATGCCACTGAGAAGAGAGCTTGAATTTGATCAACACAAGCGAGGTTACCTGGTGGGGAGAATCAGATGCTGGAAACCCCGAAACTTAATGAAGCTAGGAAAACATCACTGATAACTCATCACGGAGCATTCGAATGAATATATATTATAAATCGGTATTTAATTATTTACAGCAATCATTTTTCTCTTACGTCATCTTAATGCTACTAGATAGGTTCGCCTATCATCCGGTTCATACTCCTTCCAAAACAGGAGTAGAGGCTTATTCCTTGTTTCCTTTTCAGGGGTGCATTTCTGGTTCCTTCTAATGTCTACATCAACTCCGTACTTCTAATATCTTCGCCTTAACTCTGAACTTTTATTTACTATTAAGTTAGTGCAAAAATAATGACGTAATAATGTCGTTTTTTGACGTTAAAAAAAAGTCCAAAAACGACATTAGTACGTCATTATTTTTGCACCAACCTAATATTTAATCCGCCCACCCTTCAATAGGAGTAGATAGATTCGCTTATCTCCCGCTTCACACTCCTCCCAGGTCTTTTGAACAGCAGTAGAGTTTTATCCCTTGCTTCCTCTTCAGGATTCAGTCTTCGGTTTCTTCTAAAAAAAAGTCTTCTCTTTAACTGCTAGTAACCCTTGCGTCTTAGTGGCATTGTCGCTTTGCCAGTGTTGAATTGATTTTTAAAAAAATATTCTAAAATTATGATGTAAACACATTTCTACAATTTTTCACTTTTAACAGTTCTTTATTATTATTATTTTCTACAAACTATTCCGTGATCTTCAGATGCAACCTTATAACCAGTATGAGGACTAGGCTTGTGCGAGGCTGGAGGGCTCTGTCGTGACAAATTAAGTTTTCGGTCGCACTTTCTCCTCACGGCGAACGTCACGGCGGTGGCTAACGCGCGCCCATCCACGCCGGCCGGTTGTCCCGCTTTCGCCCTTTGACGAGCAGGAACGGACGGCAGTCTACTCGCAGGCTGTCGGCCGTACGAGGACCTGGCTCGCATGAGCCTGGGTGCTCTCTCGTGAGAATTTGGATCACTACCATTAGTTTTAGAATCATTATACTAATGGATGTAGTTGGTGTAGCGTTTAGCAAATCGTAAAGGTCTGCGTTCAAATTCCGGTCTAGTTCGTTACATTCAATTTCGCACAGATACCCATCTCAAGGGTGTAGGTTAAATAGCAGAGCAACGTGGGCTCTTTATCCTTGAATGGCATCCAATTCAAGAGAAGGAAAACGCTAAATTCAAAACCCTTTGTCGTGCTAATGGGCAGGTAGATGCTTTTCACCTTTGGTTGGCAATCTCTCTGGAGATGGTAACTCGATAAAACATCGGTCTTCCAGCTGACTGGGCTACTCGTGGGGATGGGTCGGTCGACTCGAAGGAAACGCACAATAACTGTAATTCATAAGTCATGTAAGTTTTGCTGTCACAAACTGAGATAGTTTTTTTTTTTTTTTTATAAACGTATACATAATAATCCATTGCACATTAAAAATAATTCATTTTTTGATTTCAAATATGTTCTAATATCTCTTAATGATTATTGAATAACATTATATATATATATATATATATATATATATATATATATATATATATATGTGTGTGTGTGTGTATGTATAACCGTAATTAGAAAAGAACATCATTTATTACAGAGTCTATCTATATTTCTGAGATGAGGTATTATGTACATTATTTACATTATTCGGACTATTGTCCTCATCTTTGTCGCCATATTTATTATAATGTTTCGGCCCTTCAGTATCTGTCTATATTTCTGAGATGAGGTATTATGTACATTATTTACATTATTCGGACTATTGTCCGCATCTTTGTCGCCATATTTATTACAACGTTTCGGCCTTTCAGTATCTGTCTATATTTCTGAGATGAGGTATTATGTACATTATTTACATTATTCGGACTATTGTCCTCATCTTTGTCGCCATATTTATTACAACGTTTCGGCCTTTCAGTATCTGTCTATATTTCTGAGATGAGGTATTATGTACATTATTTACATTATTCGGACTATTGTCCTCATCTTTGTCGCCATATTTATTACAACGTTTCGGCCTTTCAGGATCTGTCTATATTTCTGAGATGAGGTATTATGTACATTATTTACATTATTCGGACTATTGTCCTCATCTTTGTCGCCATATTTATTATAATGTTTCGGCCCTTCAGTATCTGTCTATATTTCTGAGATGAGGTATTATGTACATTATTTACATTATTCGGACTATTGTCCTCATCTTTGTCGCCATATTTATCACAACGTTTCGGCCGTTGTACGCTCCAGCCTTCTTCAGGTGGTTGGAATGTCTAATAAATATCATTCATTACGTACGAAATAATTACAGTTCTGATAGATATATTGACATCTATAAACACATTTTATTATATCATCAACATTTATAAAATCCATATTCGAAGAATCTAAGATCCCTCTACCTACAACCATAACCGGTGTAACTTAAATTATTTCACTCTCACTCAAAACACCCACCCAATCAACATGCGGACAGCTACCAAACATAGATGAAAATGCCCACTAGACGCTCAAACGCACATTCACATATACATTATTAAGCGAATCCTGCATAGACACAAACAAACATGAATTATACACACGAATACTGTTTGATAGGAGAAATACACGTGAGGCCTTCTTAACCAATGAAAAACAAACAACACAAAAATAAAAATACCAACGTTTTCTTTTCTCATTCATATTACATTTTTTGATGGAGCTTAAATAAAAGCGAAACGTTAAATTTATAGACGTTTCCTTTTTGTTCCTTATCCTATCATTCTGTTGGATTCTAATCCATATTTGATCCCAGCTGATAACCGTATATATCAACCAGATAATTGCGTGGTTAAATTTGCTTTTATACAGTAAAATGCTATTAATATAACCAGTCGATCGATTCCGAATGGATTGATGTTGCATATTAGACCAAATTACATTTCTAGTAATCTGCAGGGATGATTTAGTCGTCAATACAGAAATATCTACAGGTTTAGAGGCTAACAATGAACTTTATTGTGTCGATGTATTTTTCTATCGAGAAAACGCATTCTAATTGCAATTGCTCTATCGAAAATATATCCTTATTTAGAAGAACATTTCAGTGAAATTGCGTAAGAATACGCGACCTTTCGATTATTTCTTCTTTTCTCCTCCTTAAATTCTTTCATTCTTTCGAATTCATTTTTAATTCTTTCCAATCATTGCTCATTTTTATTTAATTTTTGAGTATTACGTTTTCCTTTTTTAGTTATCGTCTGCTTTTATTCATTAGTTACTTTTTTGCTTTTCTCTCTTGATTTAATAACGTCTAAAATTATCAATAAAAAATTTCAAAATATTTCTTTCTTTCTTTCTTTCTTTCTTTCTTTCTTTCTTTCTTTCTTTCACTTTTCTGGTGATTTTAGTTTGCAAACAGAAATTAATTTCTTTAATTTTCTTTTTATCGCAAATAACTTCCTATATTTGTTTTTCTGGATTTTTACCTTTCCTTTGTTTATTTTTATGTACAGGAAACGAATGGCTTTCATATGATAACAACGATTCATTAAGGTATGACTGATGTATTTTTCTTCTTTTTGTTTCCTTTACTGACTGTTTAGCATTTACACTTGGTTTGTGTAGTGAAAAATGACGCCCGAACGACCTGCCAACGATAGATAGATAGATAGATAGATAGATAGATATGAAACAAAGTGAGATAGATAGATAGATAGATAGATAGATAGATAGATAGATAGATATGAAACAAAGTGAGATAGATAGATAGATAGATAGATAGATAGATAGATAGATAGATAGATATAGATAGATAGATAGATATGAGACAAAGTGAGATAGATGGATAGGTAGATAGATATGAACCAACGTGAGGTAGATAGATAGATAGATATGAGACAAAGTGAGATAGATAGATAGATAGATAGATAGATAGATAGATAGATAGATAGATAGATAGATAGATGAGACAGAGTGAGATAGATGGATAGGTAGATAGATATGAACCAACGTGAGGTAGATAGATAGATAGATAGATAGATAGATAGATAGATAGATATGAACCAAAGTGAGATAGATAGATAGATATATAGATATGAAACAAAGTGAGATAGATAGATAGATGGATAGATAGATAGATATGAAACAAAGATAGATCGATAGATCGATCGATCGATATATAGATAGATAGATAGATAGATAGATAGATAGATAGATATGCAACAAACTGAGAAAGATAGATTTATAGATAATGAACAGACTATGATAGATAGATTTTTAGATAGTGAGATGAAGAGAGAGACAGAAGACAGAAGATAGAGAAGGGACAATAGATTGGGAGAGACACTGAAAAAGTAATGATAGAAATCAATCACGATTTGATTCTCCATCCCAAACTTGTGCAATGAAGCATATTTAAATATTCTAAAAATCAATTTCCTCTTTCCGCCATTACATTTGTCTGTTTGTTTCACGAGAGAACCTGATTGTACTTCTGTAACCACATCTTCGCAAAAGAAAGTACTTAATTTTGTTCAAATCATTTTTTCCGTTTAATATAGATTTATTTTTTAATTAAAAAAAATCAGTAAAAGATAAAATTTGTGTGTGTATTTAACCTCAGATAATAACTTATTTTTTTATGCAAAAGATAACAAAAATATATAGAAAACAAAACCAGCTTTAATTTGGCGAGAATTAGTTTTAAGAGATGAAGGAAATTTTCGTCTGTAAATAAATAAAGTAGAAAACATTCTAGATTTAAATTTCATCTAATTAAATGGAAAGAAAAATCGCATATCTAAAAGATTTCAAGTTATGATATCAAAACGAATATTAAAATCTAATGACACTGATTCCTATATTGTCCAGGTTTGATGGCTAAAAATAAAATTATATCGGTAGCCTCTACTGAAAGCTCTTCTGACATTTTGAAGAATTCAAAATTTTGGTTGAAATATGACGTACACAGAAATCCTTATATCCGTGTGTCCATGTAGCTATGGTTACGATCAGCAGACACACACACACTAATTAAATATGCGTCAACAGGAATAAATTAAAATGTAGAAAGATGTTGGACTTGAAATGCACGGTCTATCTTTATCGATGTTTTCCTGATGTCAATCATTTCAGCATTTGATACTCTGATTAATTCTGGCGTCTGCAATACAGCAACGGCCATATTTTGTCTTGACGCTACATGACTTGTGCCGGAAGTGACGTTTCACCAAACGAAGCGAAGGATCTTTATCTGCTTAAAGGTGTTAGGATTTTTTAAATAATTTTTTTGAAAGACCTAACGGCTTGATTGAAACAAATAAAATTTAGGACAGATATTTTAATTAAATTCATAAAAAGTTTTATAATAATAATAATAATAATAATAATATTGAAAATATTCTTTTATTCCTTTGATTGTTCACTTCTTTTTATTTTGTTTTATTCAAGTGTTCCTTTTCAACTTCTTTTTTTCTTACGTGGTTTAATTACTTATTTTCCTCCTTTTGTCAGCATTTGAATCCGCTTTCTATTCTTAACAGTATTAACTTGTTTTTTCTATTTTTTATGAAGTGTTTTCCTTTCTTTGTTTGGTCTTTCTTTCTTTCTTTCTTTCTTTCTTTCTTTCTTTCTTTCTTTCTTATGGTTTTATTTGTTTCTTAATCTTTCTTTCTTCCTTTGTACAGTTTCTTTCTGTTTCTATTACGTGTTTCTTTTTTTATTTTCGGTTTCAGTCTTAAGGTTTCTTTCTTTCTATTTATATATTTTGCATTTTTTCTTTTTCTTTCACGTGTACTTCTGTTTTCTTCTTCTTTGTTCTTTTTCTCATTTCCTAACAGATTCTTTCCTTATTTTGCACTGCCTTTCTTAATTTCTTAATTGCGTTTTTTTCTTTGCATTTTTGTCTTTTCACAACTTCTTTTTCTTTCTTTCTTTCTTTCTTTCTTTCTTTCTTTCTTTCTTTCTTATATACAGATTTTACCTTTCACACTATTTCTTTCTTTCTTTGGAGCTTCGTTTTTTCTTTTTTCGCTGCTTTATTCTTTCTTTCTTTCTTTCTTTCTTTCTTTCTTTCTTTCTTTCTTTCTTTCTTTCTTTCTTTCTTTCAAGCGTTTTATGCTCCTCCTGTTCATTAAATTCCTTTCTTTTCTTTCTTTCTTTCTTTCTTTTTCTTTCTTTCTTTCTTTCTTTTCTTTCTTTCTTTCTTTCTTTCTTTCTTTATTTCTTTTTTCTTTCTTTTTTCTTTCTTTCTTTCTTTCTTTCTTTCTTTCTTTTTTTCTTTTTTCTTTCTTTCTTTCTTTCTTTCTTTCTTTCTTTCTTTCTTTCTTTCTTTCTTTCTTTCTTTCTTTCTTTCTTTCTTTCTTTCTTTCTTTCTTTCTTTTTCTTTCTTTGCTGATATATTTTATTTTTTATACCGCCATTCTTTTATTTATTTGTACCCTTTATTTTACTTTTTTCACTTAATTAAAAAAAAACGCCTCTCAGTAAAATTGAGAAACAATAAATAGATAAATGATACTTAAAAAAAAATATGCGAGTTTCTTGAAACAAGAAGTGTGTCGGATTTACTGATTAGTGCCGATAGTCACAGAGAATATTTTCTTTTTCTTTTCCTCTTTCTTAAAAACTGATTGGCCAATAATTATGGCTTAAACTAAATTTACATCTTAACAAGATAATGCAAAACGTGCCTTTCTTTTATAATACTTATAAATTCAGATATCCCGAGCTTGCGAAATTTTGTTTACGAAAAAGTTACATATATATAATAAATTTGAATGTTAGTGTGTCACTGTGTCACATTTTTTCAACTTTATTCCAAGAGGCTGTCGCCCAACATCTCATACCATTTTGGAATCAGGCTGACTCCGTAAGCAAATTAAAGAACATTCCGGATAAGTCCCAAATGCTGAAAATTTGATTTCCAAATTTTTCATTACTGGAATCGTTTTCGGCGATTTTTTTTTTTTTACGTTGCGACTAATTTTTTGTACGATAAGTTGGAAATAAATTTGGGAATAATCAAAATTAATTGAGAAATCCAGCGAAAGTCACCATGAAATAAAAATAATTGTTTGTATGGAAAGTAATGACCTACATATATCAAACTGCTTTTAAATTAAGTCGAGGCATAGAAATTATCGTCGAACTTTTAAAAGGTAAGGTTAAACTTAAGTATTGCATTATATTTAAAGGTAAGCTTAAATTTAAGTATTGTATTACTATTTAAATGTAAACGTAAGCTTAAATTTAAGTATTGCATTGCTATATAAATGTAAAGGTAAGCTTAAATTTAAGTATTGCATCACTATTTAAATTTAAAGTAAGCTTAAATTTAAGTATTGGATTACTATTTAAATCTAAAGGTAAGCTTAAATTTAAGTATGGCATCAATATTTAAATGTAAAGTAAGCTTAAATTTAAGTATTGTATTACTATATGGATGTAAAGTAAGCTTAAATTTAAGTATTGCATCACTATTTAAATGTAGCGATCAATTTTGAATTCTTTTGTACTTTATTGTTGTCGGTCGCATCTACTACTTTCTACCTATTTTGATGAAGGCGCAATCAAGAGCCTTCTGCAGGAGCTGGCTTAAATGCCGCTCGATAAGGCCACTTTTAAGCTAGTTAGTATATTATTTATATTATTTACATTATTCGCATTGTTATCCTCGTTTTCATTGCCATATTCACAACGTTTCGGCTGTTGTAAACTCCAGCCTTCTTCAGGTGATTGGAATTTCGAACTGAACCCTTCATTACGTTCACCAGAGTAGATTATTCTCCTTCCACGTGCCATGCCTCTCCCAGATGTCTCATCTATTTCCCTTTAACTCAACTCTCCAAGTTTTTTGGTTCGCCACTGCTATGGCCTGGTATTGAACTCACAACTCTTTGGGTCTAGTCCTTGGATCTAACCAATACTTTTTTCAATTGGCCATGTGTCCTTGAGGACACCCCTGTGGAGGAAATAAAAGGTTTGGTTCGAAATTCAAATTACCTGAAGAAGGCCGGAGCGTACAATGGCCGAAACGTTATGAATATGGCAATGAAGATGAGGATAACAGTCAGAATAATGTAAATAATTAAGTCATCATAATACCTCATCTCAGAGATATAAACGAATAGTATATATTTTGTTATTGCGTAAAACTAATAACAGTCAGTCATTACTTTATTTGGGAAAACTTTAGCTCTCTAAAGATTTCTTTTCTATTTAATCTGTGAATTTCTGTTTTCTTGTGAAAAACAGTGAAGTGGTCTCGTGTTGCCTTCTCCATAATTTGGAATTCAGAATTTTCCTTATCTTAGATTGGTTGCCACCCAAGGCTCCATAAGCCCAGTCTACTCTGCTACTTAACCCATAGCTGGGAGGAGAGGAGATAGATTCATAGATTTCCCGGGTTTCTCCAGATATTCACACAGCCCTCTCAGACAAGAAAATAAAACTTTTTATTATCTATTAAGGAAACCATTTTCCGAGATATTTTTGATAGGATCCCGAAAAACTAAACAACGCAATAAATACATAAATTTTATTGTTATACGTTATTTATATGGACAAGTAAATGCTCTGTTTATAATAAACAGTATTAACAATATTTACCGGCCTGAATGTCCGAGAAATTGAATCGAAAATATTCGTCCTCCGACAGGAATCGAACCTGTATCCTACACGGAATCGTCATATAGCCTGACGTTATAATATATTAAAATAATTGTCGACTTAGTCCATTTCATAATATATGCATAAATACACACACACACACACACACACATATATATACACATAATATATAATATATAATCTATAATAATAATAATAATAATGGACTCTCCCGTCGGTTTCGACGTATGAGGATCTGACAGCTTATTGATTCAGTTATGAAATTTTGTGCGATAATCTTAAGTGGCATTTAAGACCCGCTTTACAAAGGAGGCCACATATGGAGCAAGTGTGAGGATTGTGAAATGAGATCACTGTTAGATTGGCTGACCTTTTAGATCTTGCTCTCGTTTCTTGAAGATGATTCAGACAAAATATATATATATATATATATATATATATAAACAAACAGATAAATAAAAGTAAATTATATGAAAAATTCTGCATTATCTCCCCTTACCAGATTATAGTCAGAAGCCATTGGGAACTGTTGCACCTGCCTGGGTACGGTTGTCATATTGGTACTTGGCATGCTGCTCATAGGTGAAAATTGGGCTACCGGAGGGTAGGCTGTGTTCATCTGAGGGTAACGGGCCATTGTATTAACACTGGTATGTGTTGGGTACGCATAGGTCCGAGTAGAGGTTGGGTATATGTTTCGCATCATCCCGTTGCATGCTGGGATTACTGGAGATAAAGATTTTGCCAACTGTTTCTCTTG